CAGAAAGCTAATATCCAAAGCATTGCCTTCAGTTGGCCCTGTGTTTCGGATATCCAACTTTCAGATGAAGTCAATCTTCAGTAAGACTTGTATCCCAGAAGCATTGCCTTCAGTTGGCCCTGTGTTTCGGATACCCATTTTGAAGAAGTGAAGAAATTGCTTATTCAGCGGAAGTCATACTTCAATTTCTGGGGGGGCAAGAAGCACTCTCAGTGCAAGTATGTACGGCAGAATTGAAGAAACAGAAACAGTAAAGCGTTCAAAAACAAAGCAAGTGAAGAAAAGAGCATCAGATTAATAATTCATGATCAGAAATTGAGCTACAAGTTCAATTAAACTGTATCGGCAGCCGCCCACAAGCGGAAAATAACAGCTGCCGAAATACGTACATAAGCAAAAAAAATAAACTGTTGTACGACAAGGCAAGCTGAAGCAAAAAACAAGGCAAAAAATTCAGAAAGCGGCAAGTCTAAAGTTAAGCACATGATGAACCGCAAGATTCTGAAGACGACTGCCCGAGTTCCTATGCTTCAGCCTGAGGATCAGACTGATCAGCGTTGAGCCCCATGGTGGCCTCAGCCCCAGCAGCAGAAGAAGCGGGCTTTGCACTCTGCCGAGCCTCCCTTTCCCTCTGTTCAGCTTCCAACTCCATTCTCTCAGCTTCCTCTTCGGCTTCCTCAGCCTTAAGGATTTCAGCTTCGACTGGAGTTGCATACTTCATATGAGGGTCTTCGGGATTCTGGACCCATTCAACACATTTAGACCAGTCCAGCTTCGGTTCAGCATGAAGGCAGACTCTTCGGCATACTCTGAACCCATTTCTGAAACCCATCTCATATTCCTCTTGGGTATAGACACGGACTTTGAGTAGAGCCTCAGCATCAGCCAGCTTCTTCTGGGTCTCCTCCAAGTCTTCCTTGGATTTCTTCAGCTCATTAGCGAGCTTGGAGGAGGAACCTTTCAGCTCATTCAGCTCCTGCTGAACTTGGGAAGCCTTTGTCTGAGCTTGGGCCACTTCAACTTTTTGGGTCATCAGTTGATCCTCAGCCTCATGGAGTTTAGCTCTCTGAGCTTCGGCAGCAGCAGCAGCCTCTGAGAGTTGGACATCTTTGGCCTGGAGCAGCTCTTCAGCAGCCATTCGGCTGGCTTCAAGAGCCTCTAGACGTTGCTGCACTTCAGCTTGTGCAGCAGCTCCTTCCTGAATACGGCTCTCAACAGCAGCCTTGAATTTGGAGACGTCCACTCCCATATGCTCCTGGAGGAATTTTTCCCCTTCCATCAGTGGGGGAAAAACTTCCTTCTCCATAGCGTCGCAGAAGGTTTTGAGGGCTTCAGCAGCTCTTTTCTCATACTCCTCACCCTTCTGCTGCTTCTCTTCAGCTGCTGCTTGCTTCAGCTTAGCAAGCTTTAATTCCTCTTCAGCTACCTTCTTGTCGTGCACAGCAGCGTCTACCCTATCTTGTAGGGTATCTATCAACTCTACAGTGAGAGTCTGATTGTGTACGAACTGAAAACAGGAAGAAAAAAAAATAATAAAAATAATATAATAATAAATAAAAAAAAAATAGAGCTGAATTTCAGAGGAAATGAAGGCAAGGAAAATTACCTGCATCATCAGCAGTTGGTTAGACCTGGCTGGGTCAGGAACTGATCTGCTGGATTCGCCCATCCCAGCAGTGGCCTTCAGCGACCAGATCCTTGCCCTATCTACTTCGGACATGCCAGCAAAATTGCCGAAGTAGGCTGCAGCTCCTTCTCGGTTCTGACCCCATATGAGGTCCCAGATGTGGTCTGGGATTGGAATTCGGGGGGCCGAGAAACCCATTTCTCCAGATTGCAGAGTCTGGAAGGAAGGGAAGGATGACGATGGAGCTTGATTAGCTTTGGATGGCTCAGCATCATCCTTCTCAGAGGAGTCAATTACTATGACCTCCTCTTCTTCAGGGGTGAGGACGAAAGCCTCAACCTCTCTTGCGATGTCCGCCGTGAAGACCTCAGCACTAGACATCACGGCATCCTTGTTTTCGTGCTCAGCAGCACTCGCCTTAATTTCTTCTTGGACCGCTCCCTTAGATTCGGGAGTTCTCTGATCCACCTCCATCTCAGGAGATGGCGGAGGGGTCTTTTGAGGTGATTGGGGTGGTGGCCGGGGAACCCTCGGCGATCCATTGCCTTCCTCGGGTTCCCTTATTGCAACGCCGATGGTCATCGGCCTCCGCTGAAAGTCATGAGGGCCGATGATGGCCATCCTTCGGCGCCTTTTCAGAAGGGGCTGCTCGTCCATATCTGAGTCTGAAGACTCTCTTTGTATTTGGTCTTCGGGACGAACAGGAGTTTTCCCTTCTCTATGCCTGTTACTCTCTTCAGACTGTAACAGACAGGGGGGAGGAAGAATGTGAGTAAAAAAAAAAAAAAAAAAAAAGAAAAAAGAAAGACAAAGTTGTCTGAAAACTCACCGAGGTTTTCAGCAAAGCCTCGTCTTCTTCAGCTGCTCTAGCTGCAGCTTCTGCTTCAGCAGCTCTGGAGGACCCTTCTCCTCCTTCGCAAGCTTCGAGAACCCGTGCAACCTCTTCGGCTGTACGGGCAGCTTCAGCTTCTTCGTCCAGCAGCTGAAACCAGGGGTCTCTCTTCTTCCACCAAGGCTTCTGCCTCTGATACAGAGCAACAGCCTCAATTTGGAAGTGGGAAGAGTCTAGATGAACTTCCCTATGCCTCGGCTCAGTGATAGACGGGGCCCGTTCAGTTACAACTCGTTCTCGGTTGACACCAAGACGAGCGTAGTTAATGCCAACGTTGGTCTCGTCCCGCTCTGAAAAAGGAAAGGGGAAAGGTTAGTTCAGATAGGTTGGCACAGCATGAAAAAGCGAAGCGAGAGAAGAAAAAGAGATAGTTAAAAAGCCTCGGCCCCAGCCGAAGAAGCTTACCACCCTTAAACTTTCGGCTGAGGCCAACAGCTGCTAGCATGTTCTCTTGGAAAACGTAATGCGTATCGGGGAGCCAAGTCTCCGGGATATGCTGCATTCGGCCACTGCCCCCCCGGTTCGGCAGCTTGCCGAAGATATGTTGCTGATCAAGGTTTGGATCCACCCCGTTATCTGCGGGGGGACCTAGACTTCCCATTTCGGGATCAGGCTTAGCGAGGTACCGGGGAGCGCTGAAGACGCAAGGGTGGCCCGGATCTGTGGGTGCCCTAACCCAAATCCATTGACCTCTCCAGTCCTTGTCTGAAGAGTCGTTTGGCCACATGGTTAGGTATTGGGGCCGGGACTCAATCCGGTACCACCCAGAACCATGGCTTCCGTGCCCACTTTGAATATTTGGCACTAGCCGATGGAGCTTTCTGAAGCAGTGCAGGTTCGGCACATACTTGAAGAACTTGCAGACCCATAAATATGTCATCACCCTTCGGATGCTGGTGGGAGTTAACTGACATAGAGAGATGTTGTAATGGATCAGCAAGTCTCGGACGAATACGTCCAAAGGGAACCTCAGCCCGTACTGAAGCTGTCTTGTGTACACCCCCACATACCCCGGGGGTGGACGATGGATTCTATCGGATGCCGAGGGCATTCGGCACCAATACCCATCAGCTTCAAAAATGCCGTAATGCAACTCAATTTGCTCGGCAAATCGATATTGATCGGCATTCTCCACCCACCATGGGTAGGGGCGGTTCTTTATCATGGCCGAAGCAACTTCGGCATTCTCCCATTCTGAAAACCCGGGGAGGACATCCCAAAGGACAGCGGGAACTTCATCATCCCGTCCAGAAGCGCTCGGCTCCTCCGTTCTCTGAGGAGGAGCCGAGGAAAGGGGAGTCGCCCTAATCCCTTCAACAGGGTCAGACTCTGGCCTTTGTCCATTCCAGGTCCCAATCCTGTTCCTAGGATCGGGAATCGGCCTTGCTCTTCTTGGAGCACGGGCTCTACCTCTAACTCCTCTTGCCATTGATTATTTCGAAGAAAAAAGTCGAAAGAAAAGGGGAAGGAGTTCGAATTCGAAGAAAAATAAACTGAAATCAAAGGAATTTACCTTAATCTGAAGCGAAAGTTGCCGATTTACGAGTTCGTAGTGGCAAGTCTCAGTTTCTAAGCTTAATGCTCGGGGAATTTGCGAAGTTTTGATGCGGGTTCTTGGTTTCTCTCTCGAGAATTCTGGGTTTGTGTTGGTGAATAAGTGAGGAGAGATGACGCGCCTCTGTTTATATCTCCAGGTATGGGATACGAGGAGTCTGCGTTTTAATTTCTCTTAAATACTCCACTAAGTAACCGTTAAACACATGATCTTGTGATTAAACTGCCCATTATCCGTCCAACTTCCACAATCAACTGCCTTAACCGTTGTTATCTCATTAATTACGGTTTAAATTCAAATTTTTGGATTAATTAAATCATTTACTTCCCTCCTTTTCTGAAATTAAATCAAACCCGACCCGTCATCCTTCCAAATCGGGTCTGGGGGGCAAGTTGTTTGGGTCCAATTTAGTCCAATTGGGCCTAAGCACTAAATGATCCAATTAAAAGCCCAAGGTCAAGGTTCAACTCTCCAATTGTGCTAAAGTCAAAGGTCAGCCCACAAAGCAAGCCAATTGGGCTAAGGCCCAACCTCTCCATGTATGATGAGGTATAAAAGCCATCATATTGATTCATTCATGAGGGGGGATTCTGATTCATTCATAGATTCATATGTTCATTCATATATTCTGATATATTCCATAAAAGCCTCAAGCAACAAACTCTCTTGCATAGTGTCCTCTTCTTACACATTGTACTGACTTTAGCATCGGAGGGGCCTTCCTCGGCAACACCCCCGAGGCTAGTTTACGTGTGTTTACTGTGCAGGAAACCTTGGGCCCAACATAACTTGGACCGAATCCAGCCTTCTCCATTTCAGCGGACCTTCGGCAAGGTCCCATTGTTTTCACCCGAAACACATAGAATGGACTCCTGAAGAAAACAAGAACTTTGAAAAAATGCCTTACATTGGATAATCTTTACAAGATGGACGGAAATAGTCGCTTCCAACAAATCTCCAACCTTCTCGGCCAATCAAGAACTGCGCAAGAGGTTAAACTTCAGTACGACCGACTCGTGTACGACCTTGGTAGGATTGACGGTGGCCAGGTTGATTACTTTCCACGACATTGGTACGAGGAGGAGAATAAAAAGATGAAGAATAGCAGCAAAGGGGCTCAGTGGTCTGATGATGAACACAGGTACGTAGTATGAGAATTGAACAATGGCTTAATATTATATTGATCATCATTAATCATTAAATTCTTTATATTAAGTACAAATTTTAACTCTACAATAATAATCTTGAATTCTTGAACACAAACTATGATATAATTGATTATCATCAATGTTTGATTTATTTAATCTAATATTTACGTGTTAATTTTTTATTTTTCTTGAGAAACTAGGTATCTTTAAAAGTTTATATATGCTCATTATTGTCTCAAACACAATAAACTTGAATTCTTCATCATAAATCTATGATATATCATTAATGTATATATGTTTGATTTTTATTTTTTTTTCCAATTAATATTTACGTACTTTTTTGTTACCCTTAAATTTTGTACCTTTCCACCATGATTCAATAATCTTGAATTCTTGATTATAAATCTATGGTATATCATCAATGTTTAATGCATACACAGTTTTTTTACCTTTAAAACGTTTTGTACTCTTTGCACCTTATGACACAATAATAATCTTGAATTACGATATATCATCAATGTTAAATATTTTTCATGTAATATAATCAGGTCATATTATTTTACACTGTATTTTCATTGAAGATATAATGCTTAAATGTACCTTTGATTTTGGAAAAATAAATACTTCCTTGTATGTAAGTCTTGTAACCCTACTCTTTAATTTATTTATTTTTTTCTGAAAACATACAATACTGTTGATTTATTTGCATACTATTTGCATGTTGACAACCTGAATATAAAAACCCTAAACCCGCCTTAATCCGGAATAGAAAAATCCTAAACCCGCCTTAATGTTTGATTTTCCTATTGCAGGTTGTTTATTATCGGAGTAGAGATTTATGGAAAGGGTGATTGGAGAAGCATATCAAGGTCGGTTGTGTTAACAAGGTCTTCAACGCAGGTAGCTAGCCATGCCCAAAAGTTCTATAACAAGAAGAAATGTCCGAAAGTGACTAAGAGGTCTAGCATCCATAACATTACAACCGTCAATGTTGATGAAGCTAACGATCTATTCAGAAAAGGGAAACTTTTACCTGAAATGCTAGACGCGTATCTACAAAAACTTGGCTTTGGTCCTGACCAACAAGAAGCTCATACATCAGAGCCTCTAGAAACACTTGCCTCTGGTCGTGTCCAACAAGAAGCTTATGTACCGGAGCCTCTAACAACACTTGCCTCTGGTTGTGTCCACCAACAAGAGACTCACACACCGGAGTCTCCAGAGGTTTATGAGTCTCTAGAGATGCTTGTCTCATTGGATCCTCTAGAAGTACTTGCCTCTAGTTGGGTTCAACAAGAAGCCTATACATCAGCAGAGCCATCAACAAAACGAACAAGAGAATGATGCCAGTGTCCTTAGTCTAGTACATAATAGTAGCATTTTGACTTATTATGTAGTAGTAACTAGTAACTAGTAACTAGTAACTAGTAAGTTGTATGGTTAGCATTATTTCAGAACAATTTTTATGTAGGTATCGGTGTTATGTGGTGGTTCGTTCTGTTTCTGTGTTGTTTGATTGATTATGACTGTATGATTTCTGTCTATTTTAGCTGTTATTAAATCTGATCTTTATTCTCGAATGTTATAATTTGTTGTAAGTTTAGATATTTTTATTTATTTGACTTTATTTTGCAACTCTTGATGTGTAAATTATGAAGTTATTTTTCTGGGTTAGTGATTGGATTTGTATTACGGACAGTTTTACAATGGCTACAATAATTTTGTAGCCATTGTAACTTTTAAATATGCACCAATGATATGCAATATTAACTCATAGCCATTCATTTATTTGACTATACAATTGTATTAGTAATAATAAAATTTATAAAATTACAGATTTACAAATATCTTCCCTCATTTGCAACAAAATTTAGATCATCTTCCTTAGCGAGATACCATGTTTTAAAATGCAGTTTGTAGAACTTGTAATTTCTGCTTTAGGATTATTTTGTGCGGAGTTCGTCTTCCCTAGCCTTATTGCGAGATTCTCGATCTGTTTGTATGAAACGTTTAATGGCATTAGCCATCTATTATATATATTAAAAAAAGAGTTAGAATTAGTGACTAGTGTAAGTGAATGAAAGATCATAATACCTTCTTTGATATTCTTCAATCTTTAATTTGTGTTCGATTATGGTTTTGTCTTTATATATGAGGAAGATGAGGGTTCATTTACTAATTTTGATAGTAGATCTTAGATATTCCTATGTTAATTGTTAATAACACAACAATCAACATTTAGACTTATTATGACTGCATGTGCATACTAGTTTCTTCCATTTGAAGGCTGAAACTTCAAAAACAATGAAGATTCGATTGTAACAGCAGGTTTTTTTTTGTTTTTTTGTCTTTTAAATAATTGCAAAACTGTTTTTTATTTCCTTGTTTATTTTATATTTAAATAATTTTTAAAGTCAATTGAATGAATTGACAAGATTGGTCTTTACAAATAAAGGGTCTAGATTGAAAATAATTACAATGGCGACAATTTTATGTAGCCATTGAAAGTCTTCCTTGTATTACCTTCATTAATACTCTGCATCATTTCCTAGTATTTTCCAGTTTATATATACATTTTGGGTGGATCAGCAAACTTTTACATTGAATTTTGCTGAATGTTTATGGTTGAGTGTTGGAACAACAAGTGTGTAGTGTGTGAATTTTGTGAAAAACTCAAAGTCCCACATTGGTGGGAAATGAGAGTTTTACTCTCTTTATAATATAGAGAGTGGGCTAAAGGGGTGTGGCCCTTGGGCTACCCACATTTTGTGGAGAGGGAGGACCTATATGGTAAACCATCTATCACACACACGCGCGCCGAGCCGGGTCGGGTCGGGTCGGGTCGGGTTTATTAAATAAACTTATTTTTTGGACAAGGCTAATTGCGTGATTAGTTCCTTGATTTTTGCTAAACGGTTTTGACTGATTGCATTTGACCGTTTTTATTCAAAACTGATTAATGGAGCGTTAATCATGCAAACGTTTTCACTGCTTTTTTGCTAAACGTTTTGCCACGCATTAATCTTCTGTAACTGTTTTGAACGTTCAACTTATGACCGTTTTAATTGCGTGATTAGTGCCTAATTAAAACAGCAGCAGTTACGTTGCAATTTTTCCTATAAAAGGCGTGTTGATTTCCTGTTTTTGATACACAAAAAATACGAACAGCAATCTTCTTCTCCTCTCTATTTTTCCTCACAAAAACAAAACCCTCGAGCAGTTTCTTTTCTTTTTGGGTGTTTAGTTGCCCGGTGGTTTTGTGCAGTTCCACCGGTATAATTTCAATAGAGAAAGGCTGTTTTATCCTGGGGAACATCCGGTTTAGTACGAACTGCTTGCACCTTTCCAGGGCAGTGCCGTGAATGTTCTAAAGAAAGCGACATAGTCCGCGACTCAGTCTATTTTTCGGTAACTTTGTTCTTACTGTTTTTGTTCCCGCAGTTCCGTTTATAACATTGAGAATTAGTTCTACACCTCAATTGCTAACCCAGATAGATTAACGTATAAATTACCCTTTCGAATTGAAATCTTCAGAAATTAAAAAGTAATTGGTGTAGTTGACCATCCTAAAACTACTCCCAGCCAAGCACGCTTAATTGAGAAGTATATTTTAGTATATGAGCTCCTTAAAAGAAAGATGCATCTTGTTGATATGAGTAGTATATTAATTCCCTTTAAAGCAATCATGAGGGGTATTACATTAGGTGTAGCAGTAATTGGTGATGCTCATAATCCGGAGTCATGGATTGTGATGATAGGATGTGAACAAGTAATTTAGTGTTACCTCATCAAATTTTTTGGTAGAGGACTAAATATGTAGTTGGCTGGTGAGGCTCACTGTTCTAATGTTCCCTGTGGGTGCATTTGCTGAAGTGCTGAACTCTATAATATTGTATATTCTCATCTTCCATAAATTATTATTTTTAATAATTTTAAAATTCTAGAAATAAAAAAAATATATAAAAAAATTAAAAATAATTATTTTTAATTAAATTACTAATTAAAAATAAATCAAAAGGCAAATAATATCAGCCGTCCATTTTTAAAAATTATGGTAGTCAAAAGTTATAAGACTACATTAGAATTTTCAATATTAATCATCTAATATTTTACTTATAAAAATTTATTTGCAACATTTATTAAAAATAAAAAATTTCATATTATTTGTAATAAATGTTTTCTTTCCTTTTTTGCATGTCATTCCTCTCTATCTCTCTTCATCACATTTATGTGTAAATTTTTTCTATCACTTTCACACCTCTCACAATAAACTTTTGCCTAAAAATCTGCAACAACAAGTTTGTTGCAAATATATATAAAAAGCGGAGAAATCATTTGGTCTTAGCAAGCTATTAAGAGGCAGCTTCGATGAAGGGTAGCTCACGGTGCTGCCAGCGCATCTCCATAATGTTCGGGCACATCGCACATGTGGAAGCATTGACTTGGATTAAGTTTACATAAAAGCTACGTCATTATGCTATGTAGTTATGCTACGTAATACGTTCATTTTGAAGGTTATAAAAAGGAATGAATTCAATCGTTGAAGCACCAAGAAACAGGCAAGAGACTACTCTTTCTTTAATTACTTATATGATGAAGACCAAGAAGCATGTTGAGGTTCTCCTACTAATCGTTGCCATTATATTCATGATGGCGGCAACTGGTGTTGATGCTTTTCTCTGCGCACATCAAGGGGAATTTTGTGTGGCTGGTTACTGTTGTTCTGGCGCCCCAGCTTTAACCTGCAGCGGTTGGTTCAGTGGTACATGCATTCGGATGGATGGCCAACCTTAGCCAATTGCACGCATCTGCATACCTTCATTTCCTGATCCAGTTGCTCAGTTTTATACGACCTCTGTTAGTTTTTAGTTGCAACAAAGGGATATTATTTGTGAAACATACAAAATTCTTCGTTGCTACTAAAAATTAACTGATTAGTACTTTTATTTACCTAATTTAATAAGCTTTAAACTGCATGAGTAGGAGACCATGATATGGGTATATGTAACGTACTACATATTGAAATGTACTTCTACTTAAGATTTATCATTGTCGTGTACCATGCTGTAATATGTGTTGTTTGAGTAAATCATCAATTCCTACAGGTGGTTACAACTAATTTTGTCTGATCTAATCCAGAATTTAATTTATTCCTAATATCATGTTAAATGTACAATTTATGTTACAAAAATCAATTATTGATTTAATGCAGTATATTGATGATAAAAAAATATTAATCGTTGAACATATTAATTACGAGAAAATACAAGTTTATACTTGTTTATCAAGGGTGTATATGTAAATTACATCTAACTTTGGTTAACTGTTATTTTCTCTCTCCTCTTTCAACCTTTAGGTATTTTCTTCTCTCTCCTCCTTCAACCTTTTGTTGTTTTCTCACTCCTCCTTCAACCTTCAATTTCAACGGCGGAAAATACATCTTTTCACTATGTGACGTTGAACAAGTCGAAATCAATGGAGGGAGAAAAGCTTATCTACCCTTTAGGGTTAACCATTTCACTTTGTTATTTGGGTTTCCGTTTAATTTCGGCGGTGAAGCCGTCGAAAATGGTAGTGCAAAGTCGAATTTAATGGAGGAAGGAAAGCTCAGCTACCTTTAGGGTTAACCTTGCCATTAATTTATCCTTTTGTTATTAGGGTTTTCGTTTAATTTCGCCGGTGAAGCCAGCAGATATGGAGTCGAACGGACTTGAAAGAGAAGATTGAGATTGGAGGGAGAAGATTAAGGTATGTGAGATGAAAAGTTATGAACAAGAGGATGAAGATGAACATGAAGAAGAAGGTGGGCGGAAGAAGATGATGAATAGTAGCAAACAGAGAGTAAAAATATATATCTATTAATAAAAAAACACAATTTTCAATGCAACTTATTTACGAAAATGTCATTTGATAAACATAGTATAAAGTGGGGCTTGCTCATTAATTACGATGACTAATAAAAATCTGTTCACACTCGCTCTATCGATTGTAAGCCCCAAATTTTTCTTCAATTTAATTTTTTGGTCAGATACAAATTTAGAAGTTTTGTCTTACAAATTTGTGAATTTGTGTATCTGTTGGTATAGGGTTGCAGAAGATACAAAGACATCTAATCTAAGGGGGTGTTTGGTTTATCAAGTTGGAATGGATTGGTATGAAATCTCATACTAGAGAGGTATGGATTCTAAAACCCATACTAGTTCAAAGTTGTTTGGTTTTATTGTTGGAATATATTCTAGTTTTATTGTTGGGAAGGGGTGGGAATGGGATTGCATGGGTATGGGGGGGAGTTAGAACCACTTGGGTATGAGATTTCATTATAAAAAACCTCAACCAAACAAAAA